GTATGTATTACCTCAAACAGATTTATCCTTGCATCAACATCAAATGATAGATTTTCGGATAGCCAAAGAATAGCCTTTTCAAACTCAGTGTAGTTACCCAAGATTGCGAGGCTGGAACAAAATATGGATGAAAAAAAATAAATGGTGCAAAATAAAAATGATATATAATTGGTTCTGAGTTGCAAGAAGAACAACAAGTGTAACCCACCTGGAGAGTGATTCAATAAGGGTAAGAGCTGATCCATTGTACTGCTGCGGCAGATGTTCAAGCTAAATATCGCCACACATGGTAAAACGGTTATACAATTAGTAATAAAATAACTTGTGTTCTTCAATGAGAATTCTCTGAGTGACGTAAAATTAAAGACATACTCCTACCTTCAAATTTCCAAGTTCACTTAGAGAATCTGTGTAGGTTTTGCTCAGAGGTTTCAGCTCATCATGCTGACACAAAAATTGGATAGCAAAAAAAAGTACCTTGAGTTGGTATTATCTGGAACCATATTCAATTGCAGCAGATGGTATGAAAAATAGGAAAAATAAATGCAGAGGTTTGTCTCACCGGAAAAGCATACATCATGTAGTTATCATAAGCATGGTAAAACCTGCCACACCAGAAAACTTAATTTAATAATGTAGCATTTTAACAAGCAAATTATGTTAATTTTACTCTCCTCCGGTCCTCCCCTCTTGTATGCTCGTAAATGACAATGGAATATGAAAATGAGCATATGATATCTACTTCATGTGTAATTTGCGAGGAAATTAAACTTCAGACAATATACTCATCAAAAGCCTTTTCAAGTTTTTGAATAGGAGGAAATCGTCTTTATTTGATATTAATTAAATATAGGCGATTGAGACAAGTTTAGGCTTACATTTCGCGAACTCTGTCGCTCATACGCTTCCTTTTAGCTGCCATAAGATTGGTTGGGTGTTGTTCTGACAAACAGATGATAAATATGGAGGGAGAGATGACGAGATAGAGAAGAATCCATATTGCCACCGATGGTCGAAACATATTTGATGCTTCTTTTTTGAGATACGAAAATTAATGGAGGGAAAATTGGAGAAGAAGATGGGTATTGAGAAACGAGAGCCAAGGGGGTTGAAAGTGCAGTAGATCTTGGATTAGGGATCAAATCTGTTGTGACTTGTGATGTATTCAAAATTCCTTGTCAGCATTGCTTCGTTGGAGAACCCAATCACAAGCCGCCATATCACGCATTCATTTTGTTCCCTTTTTTGTTCTAAATGCTATAATTTCTAAGAGATTCAACCTCCTATGACTCCTCACTATAATAAATTGTGGATTATCCTATGCATTTTAAGTAGGGCCGCTTATTGGGCGGTTATTTACTCTTAACGGTTTGGCTTATCGATTATCGGCTTTTAAATGTATTAATCCGCTAGCCACCCGATAAGATATCGGCCGGATTGGTATTGGTTTAGCTCTTATCAAGCGGTTATCGGGCGGTTTATCGGCCTAATTCAATCTATATGCGAAGCACTTTTATATATGACTTTTAAGAATATATTCTGCTGTCATATGTTGAATTTTGGTTTTATACCACTGTGTCTGCTTCTTTTAGATGCATATAAATTTACAAATTAAGTAGTTACTGATATGAATATTGTACCTATATGACTTTCCATGTCGTTTTTCACTTTGTCATTTACCATAAATTTGACATTGAACTTTACGCCATGAACTCTTTGGCAGAGTAGGGGGTGTCCACTTACTGGAGGCACCAGTGCTTCATCCGGTAACTACTTTGTAAAATACAAATTTACTAATTGCGTTATATATGAACTTTCTGCCTTTTGTAAAGTAATTAACAAGGATTAAGTTACATATTATTCATAATTCTGATTATTTAGGAATTAGGCGTTAGAATTTAGAGATAGAGTACTCGAAGAGTGGAAGACCGAAGTGAAAGGGCTTTTGATATTTAATATATATACGGATAAAAATAAATTTTATATATATATATATATATATATATATATATATATATATATATATATATATATATATATATTCTTAACGGGTTAACAGATTATCCGTTAAGAAAATTGAATAATCCGTCCCCAAACCGATAAGCCGTTAATGAAAAAATTTCAATCCGTTTCCCGTCCGTTAAACCGTTAACCCGATACCAATAAGCCATTAAACTTCAGTTTCAGTTCAGTTTTCGGTTTCTGTTTGGTTTTGAACACCCCTATTTTTAAGCACTCTTAATCAAAACCAATATGTAAGGTCTTATGACTATTATGAGCTAATTATCGAATATTTTGTTCGTTAAATAGACATGCTAATACACAATTGTTGTGCCTTGAATTTTCTATATAATACATCATAGTGACATTTTTAAAACTATTTGACTATGACTTCTAGGATATATTTTTGCTCTATAATTCTTATTTGGTGCATTAGTAGTATATTTATGTAGATATATTATTACTGTGCACCTACAAAAAAAAATTCGTATTTCTTTTTTACAACTTATGCTTCATACCTTATAACCTATTGTCCCATGATTAGTAACACACATGAGCCTACGCCTCAAAATTAATTATAAATATAACTACAATTAGTAGTTGATCTCGAATTAGCATGAGACCAGCTTATTTTACTGAATCAAAGTACTTATATAGTTTCGGTAAAAAAAACTTGGATTAGGCAACAAGGTATATATATTGGTTTGATGTAAACACTAAATACAATTACTTTCTGAGGCAAGACCTAAGCTAATACAGCTACATATTTAAGCCACGTAAATTTCCAACTGAAGTATTATGTTGACCATAGTGCTAGCTGCTCCTTTTCGATTAAAGCCAACCTCGCATTCTTTTAATTTAAAAATTCGTAAAAGGAAAGTTCGACAGGTAAGATGGATGTTGTCTAAGGGTTTTCTTGAACTTTTATTTTAGTGGTGGTCCCGAACCGTAAACATATAGTAGTAACTAGTAATTAAGAATATATTAAATCCAAAACAGGATATATTCAAAATGAGAAAAATGTAGTGTTAGTACAACCAGCTGCTATATCCTTGTCTGATAAAACATCAGCATAAATTCTTTACAGTGATATTAGCACACCACTTTTAGATGACAGTAACTTTCAGCAAACTACTTAACGCTCAGGAAGTAGAGGGCACGATGACAAGGGATCTCTCCCTCTAGACTCACCACCCTGAATCACGGTAAAAAGTTATTCTGCAAATATAGTTCACCAGGAGAACTATCAACAGTAAAATATGGGGGATGAGTGCCGCTCTGACAGTGATATACAGAGCTGAAACTGATAATTGAACTTCCGTAAACAATGGTAGGAACATAAGAAGAGTAAGGGTACATAATTCCATTGTTTCTGATTAAAGCATTAAGGTAGAACATGGAGCTACTTGCCCTTTTTGCTTCAAGATCCATCCTTTTCTTCTTCAGCCTCTCTTTTCTATGGGCATTTTGATGACCTCCCAGTGCCCGTGAGTTTGAAAAACTTTTTCAAACAAAAGTGGCACTCATATTTAAGCCCCATGATAGCCGAGACGCTCAAGTTTCTGAGGCTCTCGTTTGGGTTGGGAGGAATTATACCAGAGGAATTCATACAGATGGAAGTTTTTTCCTCCGGTGTTTCATTCATAAATGTTTCTGAGTCGCTTACACTCTCGTGTCTTTCAGATCTTGAACAAAAGCTATCCATCAGACAAGGACTTACCTCAAAGCCAAAAATTCTAAGCTTTTTATCTGAAGCAGTAGTTTTGCAACAGATAATATCTGTTCCATTACTTTCGGTTGAAGGGAGATTAAAGTTTGTAGATTTTTGGTACACTGCCTCATCCATTGGACTGAAAAGTTCCCGGCATGCCAAATGTTTTGGAATGCTACATTTATAGGAGATGCACTATATATTATAGTAGAACATCCAAAAGAACATGTCACACTCATGCATATCCAACATTATATCCAACTAAATCATTATATGATGAAAAGGTTCACATAAAGTCAGAACAAGGAGCCCTAGTGCATTACTGAATTAGGACTTTTCCCACTTTATCTTTATTTTCCAGTACATGCCATTAGTTATTCTTTCTGTTTTTTTTCCTAGACATGTCATTATTTTTCTCGCGAAGGAAATTCGGGCTTCACTCAGAAATATCACCTCTTAAGGTAACAGAGCAGCACAAAACTTGCACCAGAAGGTAGCACACTTGATAATCGACGTTTTTATAGACTTGTACAAGATGTGACCACATCCTCAAAAAAGAAACCAGCACCACAGCTGGTAAGCTGCACAATGGTTTTCATCTAAACTCCAATCCTAATTTAAGATTGAGAATTAAATTAAATTTCTACTGGAATACAGTTACTATTTCCTGTCAAAAGCATAAGAAATTACTTCTTGATTACAAGCAAAATAAAATAAATTTGGAAGTGGATAATGAGAGAAGCAAATCCTTTAATCAAGGTCACCAATTAAATCTGAGCATATCTGGTTTGAGCATAATAAATATGTATCCAGCACCTAGAAATATAGATTTACAGCTAAAGCAAGTCATTGGCATGTATTAGCATTAGCCAGCTAAAGTTTTTTGTTTCCATCTACCCAAGTTGGCTCGATGGACCACATCTTTGGAGCTTTTTTGACATTTCAGAAGCCTAATGGAATGTGTTGCAATACCACATTTTGTTTGGTCCTTATCACCAACCATCTCAAGCCCCTTTTAATTCTTCTCACTCAATTTACAAAAAGTTCTATTCCTCAATAAGGGGGTGAAAAACACAACAAAAGCAGAATCACCAGAGGATATAATTAGGCATTTACGCATATACTAGGTGTAGATGCATTACAGATAGCTACTGAAAATAGATAGACTTGACATGTTTTCTCTAAGAAGTGGTCCAAAGACGAGAAGTAATTACTTTTCCTATTTAATCTTTAAATACAGGAATCAAATGCAGCACCAAAAGTGAAGTGATCATGGAAGAGACTAAAAAAGAATGTAAAAACATCATGTACACGAATAGATGCATAGAGTTCAGGGATCATGAAAGAGAACAAAAAAGAAAGCAAAAACCTCGTGTACACGAATAGATGCATAGAGTTCATAATTTGGTTTCATATTGCATTAGAACTTTGGCACAGTAATGGGCAAAGTTTGTCACAGTGTTCCTTTTTGGGTTTGTCAGAACCTTTTCTAGAGCATTCTCTACAGACCTTACCATGGGTATAAATGAGACAATTAATGTCAAACTTTAGTTCATCAGGAATTCGGCGATTCAGATGAAGATATGTCTTTTTTACATCAGCTGCAGCGGGTACCCAACGAAGAGTCTTTGCAATCTGAAAAATCTGTAGTAAGTTTTGAATGTTAGGCGAGTACTTTGAACAGGCAATAAGTCTTTTAAAGTGAAACTCACATGTGTGTCCACTGGAAAATCATCTCGCTGAAGATGGAACATCAAGACACATGCAACCTGCATCAATTGCATACTGTTAGAATCATAGCAGCTGATAAAAAGCCAATTACAAAGGTTGTTGGTGATAAGATCTTTCAATTTGCAAACACCACCATTAGCATACGCCTTAACTTTTTCCCCATCACTGGTAAGCACAACCAATATTTTTAAAGTCACATATGGGAGTCAGACATTTTAAGGACATAGACGCCTTGAATAAATCTTTGCCACGTGTCTGAAGCATTTTCTAATCTGTCGTCTAATTTGTTTTTTGCACAACCATACCCGCTATTTTTTAGAAGGTAACAGCACCTATGTCCTCCATTTCAGACAAACATATCTTCCATGGACTGGGCGCGTGTGACGAGACTTGGAAACCAAATCAACTCTTAAGTTTTGCTATTGCTCTCAGCTGCTTCGGGTTCTCTTCTTCTCTTCGATCTCCCTCTTGCTTTTCTTCTTTACCGGTGTTCCTTAGGCTCTCCTTCTAATTCCCGGTCATTTGGTCAAGTCTTCTTATCTTTTCTTTTTCCTTTTTCATTTCCCATCTAAGCATAAAAACAATTTAATTGGGAGAGTTGGACTTTTAGAATTATTATAATATGGCAGCACTATATAGATTCTTTCTTAAGATCTAGCGAATTCTTGCAATGTAATTTTGCATTTTCCTTTCGCATAGTAAGAATCATATTCTCTTTCTTTTTTTTTTTTGATTTTTTTTTATTTGCACCGGGTGTCCGAGTCTCTTAAGAGCCCCGACTAATCCCGGGGGTGCACAGGCCCTCGGCAAGGAGTTTCCCGCAAGTGCACCACGGTTAATTCAGGTTTTACCCAGTCCGATGGCCCTCAGGAATTGTTTGCACCCAGTGGGTTTCATATTCTCTTTCTTACAATGTTACCTTTTCTTATTCCTTTTTCGTTTCTCATCTAAGCATAAAAAACAATTTAATTGGGATCCATAACGTGAGGAATTCTTGCAAAGTCCCCAAAATTTATGAAATTTCAAGTTTTCGCTTCAGACACAAAAGTCAAGTCATGTCTGGTTTGGTACTACTCATACTGGCACTAAAATTATTCTAAGCACTAGGAAGTTCTAAGACTAATGGAGACTCCACTAGATATTAATTATTCATTTTCCTTTTATAAGTACTCCATCAGATATCACTAACAATGAAAAGGATTTCTAAGGGGTTCTGACTTCAACTTCCAAGAGCAGAGGGAGATAGTTGTTTAGAGCCTATTTCTCATGTCAAACTGAAAGAACTCCTGTAAAATTAACCATTTGATGCTTAATATCGGCTCGAAAGGTTTACGTGATGGAAGAAAGTGGAGGTTCACCAAAGTCATGATAGTTTATAGGACTCCCACCCCACTCTGCCCACGTCACTCTCGTCCCTCATGGTAGGGTCGGACTTGGGTTGTAAACAAATATATATTTTATTCTACAAAACTTGAGTTGTAAACAAATATAGAAAGAAAAAGAAGTGTGATTGAGAATTCTCTATCACTTATTTACTCTTCTGAGCAAAGACAAGGAGAAAAATTCTCTTCACTTGAAGGCACCAAAAAATTAGCCCAACACCCACCCCTTGCCCAGAAAAAAAAAAGGTCATTACTTTAAAGCATGGTAATCAACCCAGACATGCAATAGAGGGTGGACAATGCATTGACATCAGAAAAGCTTGGAAGCAATTGCAGTTTCTGAGGTACCACGAATAGAACAGAGCAGAAGTTGACCCTAAACCCTAAGCCCTAAACCATTTGATGCTTAATATCGGCTCGAAAATTTTACGGGGTGGAAGAAAGTGGAGGTTCACCAAAGTCATGATAGTTTATAGGACTCCCACCCCAATCTGCTCACGTCACTCTCGTCCCTCATGGTAGGGTGGAACTTGGGTTGTAAACAAATATATATTTTATTCTACAAAACTTGGGTTGTAAACAAATATAGAAAGAAAAAGAAGTGTGATCGAGAATTCTCTATCACTTATTTACTCTTCTGAGCAGAGATAAGGAAAAAAATTCTCTTCGCTTGAAGGCACCAAAAAATTAGCCCAACACCCACCCCTTGCCCTGAAAAGAAAAGGTCATTACTTTAAAGCATGGTAATCAACCCAGACATGCAGTAGAGGGTGGACAATGCATTGACGTCAGAAAAGCTTGGAAGCAATTGCAGTTTCTGAGGTACCACGAATAGAACAGAGCAGAAGTTGGGTATCTCAAATAGTGTAGGAATACACTATAAAGGCATTTTTATAGCTTAAAAATGAACTACTCCAAAAAATTAATATTTTCTTGTAATACAACAGAATCTCGTAGTAAGTTTTTATAGTTCTGATGAATGATGAGGACTAATAACAAAGAGGAACAACGTCCTTATTTTCTATTTACGGAGGTGCCGCTGTCAAGTTATCAACATGAAGAAAAGAAATGTGAAAATGTTATTTTTTTTATCTGAATCCAGGCAGTTGTTCAATTAATATGCCAATAGGAACTTGCCGCATCTCTAAGAGACATGTAATGCCGAAAATAACACTTACTGATACTGACAAATAGGCATATCAATATCCAAATCCAAACTCAACTCATATTGGAATTAAGCACAGTCAATGATTCCTCAAGCAAAATGTCAAGCAAAACTGAACACAAGTTACCGTTTTGGGGCCAATCCCTCTGAAACAAGAGAGTTCCTTTTTTATTTCCTCTATAGATAGTTCTCTCAGGTACTCCAAGCACAGATTTCCTTTTTTCTGAAACAATGAACTCAATATTCCCTTGATACAAGAAGTTTTTGTGGGTGCTAAACCTCCACATCTTATGGCATCTTCAACAAGCTTTGCATCAGCAGCTAGAACCTAAGCATTTGAAAATAAAATTGCATGAATAAGCCGGTCAGAAGTACCCCATATCATCATTGCAGAATAAATATATTACAGAGTAGTCAAGGAAATACATGGACATTCTTAGTTTTAAACGATCATCTGGGGCCAAAACCCTGCCCAAAAACTAAACTTATTGCGAACGATAGTACAGGAAAGGCCACTGAACTTAGTTCACCAGCAAATATGATTACTGTACATCACTAACAAGTATAGCACCACATAAAAAGCATAATGAATCAGCCAGTATCTACACTTGCAATGTCACATGAAACAGGTAAAATGCATTGAGCCAACATAACATGTATAAACGTAAAAACCTAAAATAGACGAAAAGCACCTCAGAAGGGTTTTAATCAGAGGAAGGGTTACCATTATAAACTTAAAATAAAAATACCGTCTTTGGTTAATCAAATCCTTAGCCATCATAAAGCAAGCATGTATGAAGAAATTGAATTAATGGAGTAACTTAATTTGAAAAAAATCTTACAGATTCCCATGTTGGAAAAGAGGATTTGAGGGAAGCAAAAGCCTTCTGAGAGTTAGCTTCAGTGGTGTTCTGTGACAAAATGGTGCTTATTAGACCGTCCAGCACACTCTCTTTACAAGACTCAGTAACACTAATATCATCATTTTCATCTCCAATGCCATTATCATGATTGACTGATCTTTGCTTGCGGTACTTGATGAATTCTTTGGGGAAACCATGAAAGGCCAAGAGATTATCCCTCACTGTTCGGCATTCCTCCGGCGTGGGCCGAGGGAAATTGGGGAATGGCTCACTGCCATTGGAGGAAGCAGTGCTGACTTTAACCGTTTTCGATGATTTTGAAGACGAACATGGGGAACATTGGTCTTCGGAATTTTTCCTCTTTCGGCTTTTTTGCGCCTTTGTCAGTTTGGTCATTTCTTCGGTAATGAACCCTGTGAAAAAGGCCCAGTGCTACATCAAGTTTCAGAAATTAGCGACCCCAAAGGGATGGTGTTGGCGGAATGTCATTTTTTTTTTTTGGTCTTAGCAGTTTTTTTTTTTTACTTTAAGTATTATAGTTCTGTTATAAATAGAATTTTATTTAGGGTGAATATCTATATTTAGAGAAATTCTAGGGTTTATTACTTGCTGGCTAAGTCACCCTCTCCATGTAAATAGAGGTTTCTATTCTATAGTAATTCATCCCAAATCAATAAGAATTCTCTCCTTTACTTTTCTCTGCACTACTCTTCTTCTTTTATTGTTTTATAACACGTTATCAGCACGAGACTCTAACCAATTGAGTAGAAGCTTTGGGATTGAGCATAATGATTGTCAATTATTCCTTGAACTTCCTTCATGATTAAATTCTGGATTTAAGGTAAGTATTTTACCGTATTTTTCTCTTTTATTCTATACTTTGATTTTAAATACAAGCAAAGACAACAAAGTTTGATTATAACTCTAATGGAGTTTGTAAGAAATTATAACCACCTGAAGTGGTAAAATTTTTATGCCTCGCCATGATCAAATTCATGTATGATTGTGGGCAAAGAATTGAAAACCCGTCTCATTGAATTTGCTCCATTCTCATTCCCTTAAGAGAATGTGATAGCAGTATGTGATAAGTCTGAAAGAAGACAAAATTATTACTATGAATGTATCAATGGATATGGACGTGGCAATAGACGAAATTATAATCGTCATCATTTGTGGTAATGAGAACAATAAGGATTCTCAAAATAATCTTTCACTCTGTGAAAAATATTTGTCATCGATTTGACATGAGATTTTGTAAAGCACATATAGATGATTGTGGTCCATTCATGATATGAATATGACAACATCTGATTTATGAATACATATTCAGTCTTGGAAGAATATTAACATGCTAGTGGTAGTGAATATACCACACTCACCTCTACAATGGGGTTTGAGGGGATATAAGAAAATAATGTTAATATTATGGCATGAATGGTCATTGGTCACGTACCTATTGTACGCCAAAATATTTTGGCATTGTGATTATTAAAAGACAATAGTAATGCAAGAAACAGATCTTGCATATAATTTTGACCATAACCATAATGGTATAACTTTCACTTTAATTAAAAGAGATATTCACCATATGGACGTTGATGAATATGTGGTAATACCAAATTAATTGAGAGCTCTAGAAGAGCCAATTATTACTATTTTGGAGAAACACAATTGATTACCAATAAGGTATTGTGTTGTAGTAAGTCCCAAAGAAACTTATTCAGTTTCCAAAGTATACGCGAAAGCGGTTGATTATATTGAGACTATAAATAAAGGAAAGATTTAATATCTTCTATTACTACAACTTGTAGCGGGATAATATGTATGTGAAAAGCTACCCGCTTTATTCTCCAATTTGTACTACATAAACAAAAGAATACCACAATGAAGTGGATATTTATTGATATAAAATCTCATATCATAATAAACTTGGAGTTTATTCATAATTGCACACATCATGGTGTAAACCTGAAGTTTATCAATATTGATAATTTATCCAGTTGGCATAATTGGTTTAGCCATGTTAATTCAAGTATGATGTGCAAAAATAAAAGAGAATTCACATGGGTAAATATTAAAGAACTAGAAAGTTCTTTACGAATTCTCTTATGTTGCATGTTCTCATTAATTAATATACCAACTAAAATTGGGATTGAATCCCATGAATGCTGGAAATATCAAAGGTGAATATGGGCCCATTCACCTGCCATGTATACCACATAAGATGCATCTATGAGATGGTTACATGTGCGATTAGTATTAACCTGCAACCTGGCGTTTGCGAAATAACTTGCTCGATAATTTAATATAGAGCATAATTTCCAGATTTTTTATTCAAGATAGTTCTTCTTGATAAGTTGGTTTACATCACAGTTGGTTTAGCAAAATAATTTATTAAGTGCCTCCACTTAATAGCTAAATTGTTGTTGATGAGAACAAAGTTATCTATATTAGATTGGTATAGGTTATATACAAAAGTATATTACATTCTCCCCTCACAAGTGGTTCTGGATCAGGAACCAAATAATTCTATCTTATTATTATTATTGATGTGCAGTGTGTATTTTGATTAATACTATAATGCACAAAGATGGGTTCCCAAAATTGGGGAAGAAAGTTAGTTTTTCTAACATGAGGGGGAGACATGATAAACAATTGAGAAAAAGTTACGTGGAATGAATTATCATTTGTACATCTAGATCCTCGAATAAGATAATATGAACTTGAAGTTCATAAAAGGATAATTCATCAGCAATATATTGCAAAGCATGCCAGACACATTTGCTAACCCAAAGAAAGAGTTATATTCTCATTGCAAATGCTCATATTAAGTCCTAGAAGGACAAGGTCCATGGTACGCTTAAAGCATATAGAAAAATTGGTTTCAAATAAACTTCTTGATAAAGAAGATGAGCAAATGATCAAAATGATCATAATAAGGAGGCAAGTGATCTAGAAGATCACATGACATAACATTTCATAAAATCTCAGGAGAGATTTAGGTACCTGAAAATATTAATGAAGAGATCTCTATGTTATGTCTTTATGAAAAATAAGGAGGTTGGAACCGATATAAAATGTTTGTTGATGACATCTATAATAGCGCTAAATATATATGAGGATCTTAAGTCAAGAGAAACAATTCAAGTAGAATTGATTTCATATGAAAGACATGTTGTTTTGGACCTACAGTTCAAACACTTGAAAGTATAAAGTCAATCATATGTGCAATCAGTTTTGGATATCTCATTTGTCTAGCATGACATGAAAACTTGATATGGATCTAATTAAAGTCAATTACATGGCTTGTTTGACTATACTTATATGACAATCCCCAAATGATTTAAATTGCTTGAAACATATACAATTCTTGATCTTGAAGTACCACTTCCTAAGTGCAATTTGTGCACATATATATCTTGCTATAACTATATGCATGATAATATGATAGCAAGAGTTTTTACCTCTATGTGAAGATATTGAACATAATTCCAACAAGATCATATGAAGACAATTCATCTCTATCAAGAATGACGATTTCAAGGTGCAATATATTCATTCAAGTTAATATGGCTGATTTGTTCATCAAATCTCTACCAATAATCTTTTGAAGATGGTGCACAAGATTGGAATGTGAAGGCTCAAGGATGTGAATTGATGCTCTCATCAGGGGAGTTTGTGATGACCCGACCCGTCATCTCAGGAGCTACCGCCCCGTTTCCCCCATTTTATGCTTCTTCATGTTTCGTTATCGGTATTTGGTGTGTTAGAGTTGATTTGGATTGGTTTTGATAAGAAATGAGACACTTAGTCTCTTTAAGGAAGGCTTGGTTTGGAAAAGTCAACCGGAGGTTGACTTATGAGTTATAGGGCTCGGATGTGATTTCCGGTGATTCGGTTAGCTTCGGGGGATGATTTGTGACTTAGGAGTGTGATCGGAATTGATTTTGGAGGTCCGGTGTAGAATTAGGCTTGAATCGGCGAAGTTAGTGTTTTGGCGAATTCCGGTTTGATAGGTGAGATTTTGATCCGAGGGTCGGAATGGAATTCCGAGAGTTGCAGTAGCTTTGTTAGGTGATTTGGGATGTGTGTGCAAAATTTCAGATGATTCGGAGGTGGTTTGGTTGGGTTTTTGATCGAATGCGAGTTTCGGAAGAATTTGAAGAACATAGGCTTGGATTTGATGTAATTTGATGGTTTTAGTGTTAATCGTGGTGTTTTTATGATTGGAACAAGTTTGAATAATGTTTTAGGGCGTATTGGTATTTTTGGTTGAGGTCCCGGGGGCCTCGGGGTGAGTTCAGATGGTTAAAAGGGAGAGTTTTGGAATTTTTCATGTGCTAAGTCTGCTGCTTCTGGTATGTTTTAGCTTCTGCGGAATTTGGACCGCAGAAGCGGTATCGCTTATGCGATTGGGGAACCGCAGAAGCGGTTGGAGCTTGAGTTGGGTTTTCCGCAGAAGCGGAAGTTTGGGCCGCAGAAGCGGTCCCGCTGGTGCGATTTCTGGGCCGCAGAAGCGGTCGAAGCCTTTAAGCGGGAACGGGACCGCATAAGCGAAAAAGAGCTGGGCAGAGAAGATTTTAAAATAACATTTCATCCGCGAGCTAAGAGTATTTTCCTCCATTGTTGAACATCTTGAGAGCTTTTTGGGAGCAATTGAAGAGGGTTTCGACTGAGATTGACTGGAGGTAAGTTTTATGAGTTAAAAACATGATTATATGTGAAATTAACCTAGAAATTCATGGAAATTAAGCCTAAAAATTGATGAACTAGGGCTTGGGATTTTGAGATGTTAAATTGGGATTTGATGGGTCATTTGAGCTCGGATTTGAGAGTTCTTGGTATGTATGAACTCGTGAGAAGATGAGGAATCCATTGATGTTAATTTTCTAATTTTTCGAGAAGTGGGCCCGGGGCTCGGGTTTTGCTAATTTCGAGATTCTTGATATTTTTCGATTGTTTTCGATTGGGTATTGTTCCCTTAGCATATTGTGATGTATTCGCTTTGATTTTGGTTAGATTCGACGCGCGTGGAGGCCGATTTGATGGGGCAAGGGCGTCGCGAGCTAGAGATTTTACCGGTTCGAGGTGAGTAATGATTGTAAATGATATCCTGAGGGTTTGAAACCCCGGATTTGCGCGCCGTAGTGCTATATTGAGGTGACTTGCACGCCGGATAGCGAGCGTGGGGTAGAGCACCGTTGGGGATTGTGACTTGGTCCGTCCCGATTGTTGATTTTACCGCGTATTTGATTGAAACTTATTTGATATTATCATGACTTGGGCTGATTGCCATACTTGGGGCTTATTGCTGACTGTTTAAAATCCTCGTGAGTTATCAACACTGTTTTCCTCACTATTTGAAATATTATTTGAACTCAGTCCGTTTGAATTTACACTGTTTCATGAACTCAGCTATATTTTTACTCAACCTTGAGTTTTAACTGATGTTTGAACTTTTGTTTGAGCTAAGCATTATTGTCTTTACT